TCAGGTACGATATACCTGATCTCGTGTAACAATTGCGGAGATGAATATATTGGCGAAACGGGCAGACCTTTGTGTATCCGTATAAAAGAACACCTAGATGGCAAACGAAAACTAAGATGAAGCACCCCACTAGGCACGCATAGGATACAAAAGCATAGCGGAGACGATTTTGAAGTGAAAGTCAATATCCTTGCACAGGAGTCCAAAACACCAGCGCGAAAACTCCTTGAGGCTTTTTGGATCAATGCCAAAAGCCCTACAATGAATAGCAGGGACGAATGCCCGGAGATCATACGCGACCTGATCTCGTACGTTCGCATCGATTTTTGATGTGGGATGGTGCAGTCGTCAACCACATGCGACTATAATCAGCTGTTCTAAACTTCCTCATTGGAAGTCACGAAAAAGCGGTGGGTTTTTCGAGAAGTTGTTGATTGTGTAATTGCCGGAGAGTTCTTCGTCTTTTTGTAAGTGTTATTGAAGCGTTTGGCCTAGTAGATTGTATATCAGCATACCCTTCCAGGCTCTGAAGAAGGCGATACTGCCGAAACGTCAGCTAGCGTTGTATTGTATTGTGTTTTCTTTATGGAAGTAAATGTGTACTTATTGTAAATTGTACAATGGATTTCCGGTTATGCTTCAGAATAGTAATCACCTTGACGCGTAATCAGAGTAAGAGGCAGCGCATGCAACCGCAAGTGGAGCCGTTAGTGGAGCAGAACTAGTCGTGGAGTAGTCCGACGTGCACGAAAGTGCATCGGTCGTATCTTTCGTCGGTGAGGACGTCTGAAAAATGAACAACGATTTACTCCCGGTTTGCTCTCCTCACAAACTTTGGCAGCTGGAATTAGACGAAGTTTTCTAAAATGATTGTCAAAATATGTGGTAAAGTATCAGAAACATGGAATGAAATAAATCTGAAAAACAAAGAAAAAGTGGAAGCAGTAAAAAAGTTATCGTAAAACCGGTTAATTTCGATTCCGTTGCCACTCTCTCTCTCTCTCTCTCTCTACACTGGTTTACATGATTTTGTAAAAGAGTAGCAGTGCAATGTTTACACAACCTTGAGTGGTTCCGATTGGGTAGTCGAAGGAGGACCAAAGCATGGTGGTTCAATTGCCTCAGTTGTCGATGAATGACTAGTGTCAACAACTGAGGAGGTGAACATCAAAGGAAGTGGATCCATCCAGTTCTGACGGCGTTGCATCTGTCGAATTTTCTCTCGTGTCTCCTCACTTAGTACCTAAGAAAACTGGATTATTTGTGGCACCATAGAAAACAGTTTATACATTCCCAAGACCGACTTTCTGTTAACTTCGACATTAATTGATAATTCAATGTTTTTCTTCAATAAGCAGACCCGAGGTTGTTAATATAGAATTTATTAGAATACAATAGCTGACGCTTCGGCGGTTTCGCCTTCTTCAGAGCTGTTTATTTGTTGTAAGTATTTAAGTTAGTTGATGGATAGCAGCCGCACAGAGTAATACATGGGCGATAACTGTAGACACAGTATCCATCAACTAACTTAAATACTTACAACAAATAAGCGGCTCTGAAGAAGGCGAAACCGTCGAAACGTTTTTTTCACGACGAAACTTAGAACAATAAGAACTACAAAGCAACGTTAGTTGCTAATACAAGCCTTAAACTAATGTCACAGTTTATGTAGAGAATCAGAAATACGCAAGTGCAGAAAACCAGACGGAACAACAGAAACACTGGTAGAGCGCTAACGAACTGAATAAGACCTCTTTGAAAACCTCGTGCAAAAGTTTCAAGAAGAGAAACTCACTTCTAAAGCAGGACTATTGGCCATATTAAGATGCTGGGTATGATTAGCTAACGCATCAACAGCACTCGCGTCATCAGCTGCTTCCGCAGAGCCTGCGATGAAGATACGTCGAGCCGAGTATATATCCTGTAAAATAGAGAAAGATGAGTTCAAAAAAGACACTATAACTTAACACATCATGTCTTCTGCATTGAATGAATGCATTGCAGCTCTGCTTCTTTCCGAACACCTATTTAAAATGTTATAGTTTACTTTCTTCCTTCTTTATGTAACTATTCCGTCTATGACTCCATTCCACTGAACTATCTGCACGCGAGCTTCTTCACTTTACCATGCTCAATTCTAGAAAGGAATCGAACGACTAATCTCATTTTCTTCTCGATGCGAGATAATTCTACTCATATTCACATAAGAACGACTGGTTACTCTAGAATATAAGCTATGAGCACCTTTGAGAGAATGAGAGAAAATTGTCCTAACTCTCGCCGTCCAAAAGAAATTCTAAGAGTGAACTTTTGATTAAATACAAATTGAAATCACATTGTTAAAGATAAAAATCACAACATATAAACTACTCTAAAATAGATAAAAAGCAGTTATAAACCAAGAATCAACTTCGCTGCTCCGATTTTTCAAATACGACCATGTTTTCTTGACGAGTCAACAATAATATCAGAAGGCTCGACTGAAATGAAGAACCTGCTGCCTCTTGCGTCGCGCCTGAAGTTCGCTAGTATCAGGAGAAGTGGTTGTCGTTCCCGGATCTGTGCGACTTGTGTCAGGAATGCTTCCCAGGCTTGACTCAATTGAAGGGCTTTGTTCCAGAGTACCTGTTGATGCAACAGCAGCCAAAGGTGATACCGTTTGTCGTGACATAATCTCAGCATCAATGTCTCGTTCCTAAACCAATCACATCTAAATTATATTGAAGCAGTAAATTTGAAAAACCTTTCCACGCTGATCAATCTCTGAGGAATGCGCCAAGCATTCGACTTCATCAAGCACTTCAAGACTTCAAGCATTCGAGCATAGTTTGAGGTGATTTAACGCGTATCTGCTCTATACAATGAATCGCGGTGGTGTGCCGATGTAGCATATCAGTGTTGCAATCCTCCCAGACAATTCTGGCACCAATTTGCTGCCCCGGAGCAAAAGAAGTCTTGATGAACTATTGGTCTGTGATAGAACCAACGACCACGTGCATATTGGAGGGCACCAGTAACCACTGCGCAATACGTGCCCGTTGAATAGACACAAACATGCTGTATGAGCACCATCATAACCAATTAAAGCGCAAAATTCAAACGTTTTTGATCTTTGTATGTAATAACTAAATATTACCTTTACAAATGACAGTACAGCATTTGCAACATAAGCACCTCATTAGTAAGAAGTATGGAAGTAAATAGGCCGCGTATATATCAATATCATCCAAAATTCAGATAATATTTTTCTTTACATACCTATTCTATATAGGGTACCAGAAAACCGAGGCCGATTTCATCGTTTTAATTATCGACACCCGGTTTTTATACAGTTTTGCTTCCCGTATTCGTACTTATTTGGACACTTAAATTGCGTGTGCTCACTTGCTGTGCGGGTCGCAACATAATTTCCATTCTCCGAAGAGCTGGCTCAGCCACTGTGGTTCCCTGGAGTTCCGATGTGAACCTGGACGAAGTCTTCCTCAGCTCGTCACTATTTCAGGTTGTCACCACCCTTGTCGATCAGAAGGGGATTTGCCACCACCCGACTAGTTCGATACCAGGACAATGGTGTTTCCTGCTATTGGCTTACTCTAAGCTGGGCTTTCAGATGGAACGCCGGACTCCTTATTAGCTTGGGAGCCCCTACTGTAGGAATGAACCATCCGCTGTATATGGCAGCCCGACAACCAGGAAAACCTCCCAGCGACGAAGTGGTGCTAAAGCTCGCAGGTATGCTCGCACCACAAACGATTTTAATACTCAGCTTCTTTTCTATATTCTAATGTCAAGATTGGAGCGGGAAGGTTAGTGGAGAGGTTAGTGATGCAGTGAAGCAAAGTCGCTACTTCAACACCCTCCCCAACGCTTGCTTCAATTCAACGTGGAAACGCTTTAGCCTGACTATCTCCAAAATTGCAGAGAGAATCGACTCGGTCAGCGTTCTACGACATTCATAAAGAAGACGAAATCCTCAAGCAACAGCCGAACAACATGCGAAATGTTCGAAAACCTTTGCGAACGATGAATGCGAAGGAATCAATTTGAATTGAAGAAGTGTTGGGATCCGCACAGTAGATGTGACGACGGATTATGAATAAACAAAGAAAGTAATTGTCAGTATTTTTCCTCTGTATTAACTTTGTTCAACTCAGACCAACGAATTTATCGAGCACCGTGTTTCGAAAGAATTATGACGGAGATTATATATTTGACGGTGTGGAGAATCGATGATAACCTGCTCTCGTTGGCGAAGACCACACGAAAACACCATATGAAGCACATTGAAGCACAGTTGGCAAAGCTGATAAGGAAAACCCTCGCAAGGGGTAATTAACTACTTCGGGGCGCATTAATTGGACTGAAAAGTGAAAAGAACTCGACTCTCGTATGAACTGAACAAGTGGTAAAGTCGTTATGATGTCTCTTTAATGATACAAAAACAATCAGATACGGATGCTAAGATATGAGCAAAACTCGGAACATATGAGAAAGACAAGGCAAGGGTCTCGGTTAATGTTATGGATAGCACATGAGCCCTTGGTAAGGGTAATCATGGGCTGGAAACCCACCAGAAGTGGGGGGCTTTGCTCATATCTCAGCATTCTTGAAGTTGCTTTTCGTATAGAACTTTACCCTGAAAACAGAATAGGCAGTATCTAAAAGTTAAGACATCAGTCAGCTTCAGAGTTGCATTACAAAGTGTGTAAAAAAAGAAACGTTATGTACAAAAACTGAGGAATTTTCTAGTGAGGTTGGACAAATGAATTATTCGGACTCATCTGAAAGCCCAGCTTAGACCTAAGAAGATTATGAGCACAGTTATCCGCTATAAGATTCCGAAACCTGGGTAAACCACTAGACTAAAAAAGCGTTGTCGAAAACAGAAAACGTGCACAAAAGCGTAACGTCTACAGAAACTACTGAATGAACGAAAAGGAGTAATTTTGATGTATTTCACAGTGCTACCGCACTTTGTAATGTACAGTTAACAGTGGGAAAACAGAAGAACTAGTAAGAACTGCAAAATTGCTCCATTTAATGTACTCGTCTTACATTTCACTAATCAAGTACTATTTTTTCGAAAAAACAAAACGCTGGAAAAGAGACAAGAACTGGTAAGAACCACAAAATTGTCCCATCCAACATATTCTTCGTAAATTTCACCAGTCAAGTACCACTTTTCCAAACAACAGCGGAAAAGTGCCATGAACTGGCAAGAACTTCGAAATTGTTCTTTGCAACACGCTCCGGCACATTTCACTAACCAAACACAAATTTTTTCAAGAAGCTCAACAACCCATAATTAAAAAGGCCCTACACAGTCAAAGCGTTTTCGAAAATGAGTCTAGAACATTCCTAAGGTCCAAAACATTGGAATTGTGCGGTAGCGCAACACGTAAACCTGTAGCCGCTTGGCAAGGATTTCCGAATGTTAAATGATGTTGTTTTAATGGAAAAAAAATCGCGGTCGAAAAATCCGCATTAATGTTACAGAGAACTTGTTATCGTATTGAATGGAGTACATCCAAAAACTGTACCTGATAGTTTCCACAGAAAGTAGTTTCGACGCGGCTTCGCTGAGTGGGTGATTGTGGTAACGAAGGTTGATTGGCCGTCTGATGAGCGGTGTTGGGCTGAGCAGTACCACTGACCACTCGAGGGTTCACCGCCGCCGGTGCTGTCGACTCGATTTTCAATTTCGACTTCGACTTGTCTCGCCGTGAATTTCGTCGTAGAATGTTCTTGATCTGTAACTATCAGCAAGAGTAATGCAACATATCTGCACAAATGACGAGAAATTACAGCTTTTTGATAGCTAGCGATATTTTTAGATAATTACAACATTCAAATTCAACAGCCCACAGACTGATGGAGCAGATAACCCATTCACTGCCGAGCTAATTCCATAGACAGTTTCTCTGAACTTTCATTTTAACGTTAAAATCGCTCAGAAATCAGATTTTCTCGAAATTGAAAACAAAATTTTAAGGGTTTAAAAGTAGTGACGCTAGCGTGTTAGTCACTAACATCATGGGTGTATTTGGGGAACTCATAAACGCTCTGCTTTACAAAAATCCCACATATCAACAGCCACTCAAAAAGTGGAAAAAACGAAGTCTCTTAGGAACCGGAATCTTATCTTGCTAGAAAAATAAAAGTTGTATCCTGTTAACAAAGGCTATATAGATGCCACTGATGTTTACTTTCAACCACAAAACACCATTATGAACCGAAATCTGTTTTTTTGCGTACACTGAAATCAGTGGAAACGGCCGCGAATGTGCTAAGCAGATTGTGTGTTCGCTTTTAGTTTCGTCTATTTTCATGACCGCTGAATAAAATCTATGGGAGTAGTTCGAATTCATTAGTAGATTCATTCCTCTAACTGGACGCACTTTTCCTGTTTTTCCTTCGCTCATCATTGCAGCTGCTTGATCCTCATTAGCTTTCCGAATAAGATTGTGCATGTCGTTGAAAGATGCTGCCGACACGCCCGATGGTACACCAACTCCGTATTGAGGTGCTTCCATCGCCGTAACGCCTTAAAATTCCTCATCAAAATAGATGAATTTTATTACAACCTATATCTACTTTGATGACGTATATGGCATAGTGGTTATTATAGCCCTCTAATGTACTTCGTAATTCGTAACTTCGTCACTGATTCCACTCTAGGACCTTGACTAAGCAAAACCCACATCATCCTTAGGTCGGATGATTCGCACCTCCCTTGTAGGAAAGAAACACTAACTTAATTCACCGGTACCCCATCGCAAGTCTTTCTACAGGCCAAAGGTACTACGAATAGAGTCAAAGGCATGCCGTATGCTTTAAGAATTAATGAATGCCGATAGCTTTATTTTGCAGTTCTCCTTATCCGCCCATATATGCTTTACTTCAGAAAATCACTTATTCTTGTAAGCGTACTACTACAAAAAGGATCAAATTAAAAGTGCAATTTTTTAATGTCAATTCGGTATGCCACAGAATTCCCGCCCGTTTGCCTATTTTCCCGAAAGAAATCTTTATGGCTTAAGATTTTCAACTATTAGTAGGTATACAATGCTGAGATATTTGCAAAACTCCGGACCGCAGGTGTATACGGTGGGGAACGAACGCGCGCTATTGTCCTTTCCTGGGAGTAGCACACTTCACCACCACACCATACGGGTCCTTCGCTTTGCCTCTCTCTCAGCTAGTTCTACTGAGTAACTCTTAGTAGGTAACTTATACCAAACACAATAATTTACTTGTATCAGATGGATGGCGTTCGGGAACGATGTCACCGGCCGTGGACTTGTCGTCGAACATCCATTCATTCTGAAATATAAAGAACATAAGCGTGCATTCATCATGACAGAGAGTGTAGATCCATGCTTTAAATCTACAAACGACAAACTGTAAATGTGAAATCTTCAACAACAAAGTATAAAATCGATATAATGAAATAATTCACGTAGTGTATTAAGGTTTCGATAATTTTGCATTGATCACTCATATGTGTCACCATTGTTGCCATATTATCGTCCGAAGGACGAACAATGGACGGACCGAACATCAACGCCAAGTTACGTGTTTCCATCTGGAAGCAATCAATCAATTTACACAAACAATTCATAATCATAGAATTCATCCGGAAAAATCAATATTATCGGCTATGTCTAGTCACACTAACATTTTATTCGACATTCTGAAGTACTGATTAAGAGGACAACCGCAGTACAATTCAGTTAGAAAACATTACCACTAAAGTTACTTACTTACTTGATACTTGAACGGTCCGTCCCCAGTGGTTGTGCGAGTCCCAGCATAATCACCATTTTCGGAGATTTGCTGGTTAAGCCATTGTGGTTCCCTGGAATCCCGGGGTCAGCCTGGCCAAAGTCTGCCCCAGGTCGTCACCACCACAAGCAGTCGCAGTCCTTGTGGATCAGAGGGAGATTTATCACCATGCCACTCTAATGCCAGGACGGTGGTGGACCGTGGTATTGGTTTACTCTTAACTAGACTTCCTGATGGAAAACCGGACTCCTACTCAGCTTGGAAGACCCTGCCGGGACAATTAAAGTTATGTGATGAAAATTCAAAAAATAAAGCTTATGCTTTATTGACGCCGTTAGATTTGCCGATGAGAAAAAAAGCTTAAAAAATTTTGAGAAGGAAGAAAAAGAGGTTTGACGAAAGTCATACCTTATTTACTTTACTATTTTTCGTAATCGCTAACAGATGATCTATCAGATAACGCAATGTGGCGTAATGATGTCGTGGTAACTTTCGTAACTGAAATACAAACATGTCGTACTCCACTACAGATCGATTTATTGATCGGTCGACCAGAACACAGAGTACGAAGGGTAGTGCTGTATAACTCACCAAATTTCTTATTTTATGAAGACGATTGTGATGATTCGATATCCGATTTGCATCAATAAAAAATGGATACAATTTATCAGTGAGAAGTGGTTCTGGCAATTTTCTTAGGAACATTTTCAAGAAACTCGACACCACATTCACGTCTCGCCATCGTGGATCGCTCAAATCCAGCTGAAAACAGCGATGGAGATTGGCGTCAATACGAATACGGGTCAGTCCCAAAGTCTTACAAAAACAAACATGCTCATATAATACGAGAAAAATCCAATAATACTTCGATTGCGTCTAATGCAAGCATTGATTACTGGTATCGAGGTTGAGCGAAAGTCGGTATTTGAAGATATTTCTGCATCATTTGCCAGCTAATATAACACCGACTTTATGCAGAATTCACTGCCACCACGAAATCCGGCAGATCAGATCAGATTAGCAGACCACATCAGATGACAATCGATCAGTAAGCGTCTTGAGACGTTTGCCGAATAAAACTTCTTCACCAATTTGCTGTTAGTTCAACAGTAAAGTATTTCCTTCGCTCCCTCTAGGCAGTATGGTTTAAAACGATGCCAATTATTCCAAAGGGCTTTCATCACAAATTTCTTAGCAAGCTTCTTACTTAATACTTGATACTCGAATGACGCGTCCTCAATGGTTGTGCAGTCCCCCCAGCACAACCTCCACATTTCGGAGATTTTCAGGTTAAGCCATTTTGAATCCCTGGAATCCTAAGGTGATCAAGGCCAAAGTCAGTCCCGGGTCTTCACCACCATAGGGCAGTTGCAGCCCTTGTTGATCAGAGGGAGATTTGGCACCATGCGACTAGTTTAGTACCAGAACTTGATTTCTTTATGTAAAGCAGAAAAACTGGAAAAATGACTGAGAGTTAAAATTTCAACTTGCTGAGGAGTTTCTCACTAACTTTCTCCAACGTCATTGTGTCCAAACAATGACTAAGAGTTTCTTTTAACGCGTTCACGGCCGCTGTGTTACCGGGAATACGGTATATACCAACGGTGTCTAGTCCGTTTGCTTCGACGACACTTACGCAAATTCGAACGATTAAAGGAACGAGCTGAAAAAAATGAACAGTACCAATATGACATTCTACCAGTAATTGAAACAAAATTGTTTAAGAAATGCAAATCAGCTGCTCCTGACGAGGAACCTCAGCTGAAGAACGTTTACAAATTGATAATCAAAACGGATAGAACGTGGTCTCGTAGTGAAGAAACAAAAGTATTTTTTTTTGCGGAAGCGGCAACACTCTTAGGAAGTTTTCTGTCATTTTCAATAAGCGCTATCCCGCTCTTCAACTTCCGCTCCAGAGTTTCTGCGATTTTCTTACAATTACTGGAGGAATATGCACAGCAACTAATAAGTTTTTCAGGAAAAAAGTCAGATTTCGTAGGTGCTTGGCGCTTTTGTTCTGCACACACACATACAGTTCTTGTAATGATTGAGCTTGGACCGATGGTTTTCTTTGGAGCACGGGTAGTTAACTTCTTCTCAAGACAGAGATGCTTCTGCTTCGTTAACGTTAAAATTACAAATAAGAATAAGAAAACGAACGAACATAGGATAGCCAGTGAAAACTTGTCTTGAAGTTATTAGTTCCCTTTAAACATAAAAAGGAAAAAACATCCATAGTCGGATAAACCATTCGGAGGGTAGAACTTTGTTCTAATACACTCAGTGTAACAGCATAGCAAAGCACTAAAAGAAAACGGAGATTACTTACATCTTCAGGACCTGACGTCACACAATCGGCTAGTCGAATACCGAGCACATTTTGTGGTGTCGGCATTCCGGTAATGGAACCGGCGGCGTTGGAAGTGGAGCCACTGCCTGATATACCAGTGGGAACGCTACTGGAACCACCGCCACTTCCTTGCTTTCCGGCCTTAGGCTTCTTCCATTTATGGCCTGATTTCGGCGTTGAAGGTTCTAGAATTGCGAAATTATTGCTACGCAAAACAGCACAGTTGTCTAGGTATTATCGTTAATGGATTAGCAACATACCACCGTTCTCTCCAGAACTGCTATCTTTACTTGTACTCGGCTGTGCGCAATGTACGTCGTTAACAATTGTGCGCTTAGCTGACATTGGTGATTGCAACTGTGACGACTTCGCTTTGTACCTAAACAAAACCTGTCTAAACACCAAGTACATCTATGAATTCCGGAAGCATAAAGTAGAGGTCCAAATGTCTTCTAAATCAACTATGCTATCCAGAAAATCCCTTACCACTACAAATTTCCAAAATGATCGAAAATGACTACTTTAATTTATTCTGACCTCAAAAATTTAGTGAAACAGCGCAACAGATATGAAAAACCAATAAACGAAGGTAATCAGAAGAAAAAAAAAGCAGAATCCGATCCCGAAAAGTTATAGCAACAAAAATCAATAGCACAACGAACCTATGCATAATCAGCTGATTGGTGGCCAATGCTGTATGTCCATTGCGTTCAGATGGCGTCGATGACGATGAGGCGAGTGAAGCGGCCTGAAAACTAGTTACCGTGCGAAATGAGAGGAGAAGTTGTTCAATTATGGACGACATTCAATGGAGTGGAGAAGAATGAGAGAGAGAGAGAGAATTAGAGAGTGAAAAAAGTAGAGTGATGCTGAGAGGAGGAAATGAGACGGACGGACGGACAGAAAACCTCTGATAAGAAGAAACAGACATGGAAATTTTGTCAAGAAAATGTTAACAAAATATTAAATTAATTGAAAATTAAAAAGAGGTCAGCAAAAAAAAGAAAAGAACTAAAGGATCAGTTTCTGAAAATCCATCAAGTATTTGTATAATGTAGATGGCTGAACTTTAACGAACAGTTGGAAGTAATGACAATACCACATAAACCTAGTCGTTTAATCGACACGTTGATGCAGTTGCGAAGTGAATGAGTATTCATCCACTCTATCATCTACACCACCCGAAACACAGAATAAATGCATGAACTGCGCAGGTTCACAATGGCCCCATACATACACGCAAGCCCAGGATAATGATGATGGACCACGGCCGAACGATAAATGTGAGCGGAGGCGGCGGTGGAGGGAACGACACGGTCGTCATGGGTGGGTGTATAGAATGCCCTTGGAAACGAAGACGATCGAAAATGAGTACTTGCAACAACGTGGAAAACCTGGAAAGGAAAAAATTTAAGAAACATCTACATGAGAAGAGGATAAAATGGGTAGAGCTCTAAAAAGTCAACGTTACGGAATGAGTTATTAAGTTATTGGTAGGATTAACCCTTGAGGGATGTGCCATGCATTCGACTTCATCTATACAATCACTCGCGATGGCGTACTGATGTATTAGGTCAGCACTGCCATCCTCCCAGACAAGTCTGCTAGAATATATCGACTCCGGAAAGATGGAGGGCTTGAGCCTGATGCGCGGAATCGATCGCATCTGTATTTAGGACGCTGATAACCACTGCGCTACACGCGCCAAGCGGTTATTTTGAGCAGTTACACAAACAAATAGTTTTAGTTCTAACTTGATCCTCTACCACCACATTATCACCTGTATCGAGCATAACCGTATAAATGGAGACCAATGAAGACCATATCGTCATGGTGTTAGTAAAATTAATGAAAGCTGTACGAATGTGATAAACCTCATGACGATAACGTGATCAAACATTTCTTGGTGTACTGGTCGGAGCCGGCGTTAAGACGTAGGACAAACTAACAGTGTGAAATATTCTATAGGAACGAGTTAAATGCAGAAAAAAACCAACCACTAAGAAAAGCAGTTTCCCTTAGAAATTTTACTAAACGTCACATCGGACTATTAGTAATATTACGGACTAATTTCACATAATCCCTGTCGCCAAAAACTACAGTAAGCAACAATAAAAAGTCAACATTACGGAATGAGTTATTAAGTTATTGGTAGGCACAGCCTCCGTTGATTATCTTAATAAATAACGATATGGATAAGACGAAAAGCCGCACATTCACTATTGTCGCAATTTGAAAGCACAGTTTCTATGCCGACTCGAGAACAAGTGGACCTTTCGAATATTCGGACCTTTCAAAGGATTTCTGGTTCGAATATTCGGACAAGGAACGTGCTGAAATCCAACAAACCCTGTTATAAAACGCACGATTTAGAGGTGGACGATAAAAAACATGGTGAAATGTAGACATGGATTCGATTGCCAGGAAATTCCTCGTATGTCGAAGATCATCGACTTATTAAAACAATCAGAAAAATGTTCCAGAGAACACTGCAAACAATGCTGGGTGATAAACTACCATATTTCTTGTACTTCTCAATGAAGAAGTAAATGTTCAAAAAATTCTGCTGAGCTGAGGCACTTCTGCAGGAATGATTAATACTCTGATGGCACTCCGAGACTACAGACTATACAAAGACGAAAACTATAAAAACAAGTTGAGAAAATTTCTGGTTACCGCTTTGATTAAACACTAAGATCGAACTAAGAGAAAAGGATAAAAAAAGCTCTCGGCGTTGATCAATCTCTGAGGGATGCGCCATGCATTCGAATTCATTAAGCGTCTTCGGAGGTGATTGAATGCGATTTGGTGTTTACAATGACTTGCGGTGGCCTACCGATATATCGAGCCAGTGTTTCCATCTTTCCAGACAAGTCTGGTACCAATTTGCCGACCCCGGAGGGACGGAAGGCTCGGTGGGCCATGTGCGCAGGGGTCGATTCCACGTGTGTGCTGAAGGGTGCCTCCGACCATTGAGCCACACGCGCCCTTAAGTGAAACAACATGAGAAAAAGAAAACGAAATCTGCAGTGTAAAGCACTCAGAAACTCATTTTTACCAACTAAAGGCGGAATGGGCTTTTAGATAAGGCCAACTAACTTGCAGAAATTCTAACAATGTGGGCTTAAATTTAGAGTGAGCAAACAATCTTGAGAACGAACACAAAGGTACTTTTAAAAAAACTCTAAATTCTAAAAATCCGACAGCAACGAAGAAATCTAAATCTACTAAGGAGGAAAACGAACTACAAGAAAGTAATACAACAGGATACCAATTTTATAAATAGAGGATAAAGGATAAATCTTTCAGCCTCGATCAATCCCTGAGGGATGAGCGAAGCATTCCGCTTCATTGAGCATCGCACGGAGGTGATTGAATGCATATATGGCCTTTACAGTGACTTGCGGTGGCTTACCAATGTATCGAGCCAGTGCTGCTATCCTCCCAGACAAGCGTGGTACAAATCCGCCAAGCCCGGATGGACAGAAGGTTTGGTGAACCCGAGTGCGAGATCAACCCAAAGACCATGTGTGTACTACTGTAGTAACTATACGTACGTAATATTGCGCTATACGTGCCTAATTTGACAAGTGTGAACAAAGAACGTCAACTACCTCAAAATAGTCCCATGAGGATTTTCAATGTATCTTCAACCCCCTTCGATCAAATTTCTAAGATAAAGCACACGACAAGGAATGTATTAAGCGACCGTTGAAAACGGAAAATAGAGAAAAATAACGTAATCCTAATATAATAGTGTGAGTAATGGAATGTGACCTATGCGATTTTCCACCGAACAGTTTCCTGGATCGTTACCTGAGACAATCAAGGTGATGGTCGACCCAGTAGAAAAGAAAAAGGTGACGAAGCTCATAACATTGACAAACTACGAGAAAACAAAATCGCGACATGTTCACATATCATTATTGATGAACGGTGAATGTGTGTTCCTTGTGCATATGCATTCTTGTGAAACTAATGGATAGTCAAGGTAGCAACTTAAGGTTCCAGGCTAACCAATAGCCTTCTATACTGTTCATCTAGAGTTTTGCGCAACACAGTTCTAGATCATATTAATTGATGAAGAAAATTCCAATGTAAACCGCACCAAGTATTCTGCTCACATTATGATAAGCCAGGTGTTAACCAAGAATGAAAATTCGCTTACAGTTAGATGACATAGCAGTAACAGCAATAACGATATAAAGAAGATACACATTGATTCATTCCTGAGTGCTACTCCTATTAAATACTACTATACTACCACAATGATGCTGAGACATTTACAAAACTCCGGACCGCAGGTGTCTGTGGTGGGAGTATATTCCGATTCGGGTTCCACAGATAAATCCCGCTGACGGGTGATTGCTGATGGCAGGGATCGATAGAACTAGCTGAGATACAGGGGAAACGAAGGACCCGCATCATAGTGTATTGGTGAACGTGTTAGCCCCCGAAAGGATAATAGCGCGTTCGTTCCGACCACATACATCTGAGGTCTGGACTTCTGCAAATATCTCAGCGTCATTGTGGTTGTATCACACATAACACCCTGCCATGAAAGAATGCAAAAAGCAGCAAATAAAAAGTTAACTACCACATCAGTTCATCCCAGAACAGTAACATTTTCGAGTCGCTGGATGGACTGAATTAGTCGTTGAGATACAACGTAAGATCGAGCAGAGACGAACAAAGAGAAGTTACAACGAGTGACTAAGTAACACACAAATCTCCTACGACTGACAACCATTCCACAATCCACTTTGTCACGCTGGCCGCTATAAAATGTCAATGTAACCAAAGCCTCGCAAAGGAGTGATATGTGTCCGGCAAAACCATGCAATAATGATACGACTGAAGATTGTAACCCGATCTAGTAAAGCGCAGAGCCGGCTGATAATTGGTTATCATTGAATGTGATAGCCTGAGTACCAAGCAGTCTTAAACACAGAATGCAACCGTTTCCAATAAATCATTCCTGAAAAAAAAGCCGTTAAACCGCTTCACTCTACAATGACAGCTGTGCACACCTGCGATCTCGGACTGCTTTGAAAAATTCTCGAATTACGAAACGATGCAGCACTGCGTTGATGGCCGTGTATAACCCAATTTAAGAGTAAACTATTAAGAAAATAAGAACGCCTAACACATGAGAGTAGAAGTCATCCTTTTCTGACATTACTTACGTTCAAGGCATTGTTTTGTCAGAAAAGAAGAAAAGCTAGATGGTGCACTTCAGTACTCCTACTGAAGTACAAAAATCAACTAGCTCTTCAAAAATGACAAACACTATGCAAGAGAGAGAACAAATACGAACCACTATGTTTTCCCACATCGCGGAGTTATGCATTGTTTATGGAAACAGAAAATGAAATCTCATAAGCCACGTCAGAAAAGAAACATTGCATCATCGGGAGTGGTCCACTGATCATCAGAGTCCACAGTACGCGTTAAAAGTTAGAAGATTCCGCAGGATGAACCAGAAAAAACACAGAATCATACGTTTCAACGAACTATGCCAAAAATCTTACACGTTCCTTCAGCAAGTTTATATTAGCAGATGAGTTACGAGATCACCATAGCTACGAGTAATTAGAGAATGCCGATTTTGCCAGATCGAATTAAAAGATAGAAAATCAACCGACAC